ATTCTCTTGTAACGTTACGCGTGTAATGTGCTAGAGCACCGTCTAGCTGCAGAAACATTGTTCTTCTAATATTTAAAGGGATATTTTGCAAAAGTATCCAAAAGTCTCTTCGTAGAAATCTTAAAAACTTTTGTCCATTTAAATGGCCATTAAAAAAATACGGTCCTATCACATGTTCTCCTATTATTCCACCATATACATTAAGGGACCATCGGTTTTGTCGATCAGTACATCTATATTCATGTTGATTTTCCGTATTATAATAGTGAAAGTTATGTCGGTTCACGAGTCCATTATTATGGAAAGTAGATTCATCAGTGAACAAAATTTTATCAAAAAAAATGTTGATCTGCTCCCGTTTTGTCTAGAAACCATAAACAAAATTCTAACCTACGTTCAAAATCAGTTCCATACAAATGCTGATGCATTTGAATATGGTATGGGTGATATTGATATTTTTTAAGAATTCTGCATATACTAGTTTGGCTTACTTCAATCTCCCTGGCCATCGTCCTTGTACTTGTATTTGGATTTTCAATAACTGATTGAATAACTTCTAATTCGGTATTTTCATCTTCAGTTATCGGATTTATTAATTTTCGTTTAGTATAAACAACACTGCCAGTTTCACGAAACCTTGTTAAGACTCTGTCAAATACTTCTTTACGAGGATGACGTTTTAAGGGAAATCTCTCAGCATAGACTCTTGATGCTAACAAACTGTTTTGATCACATTCACCCAGTATTAAAATCATATTTACTCGGTCTTCAATTGAATAATCTGCCATTTCTATTTAATTGAAAGCAATACAGTTAATAGTTTGACAATTAGTTTGACAGCTAGGTACCTTTTGTTTTTTCATGGCATTCTTTATAATAACGAGCTATGTAATTAATGACATTTAATGTTCCAGGTAACATAATGCAAATAGATTTGAAGATACTAGATATTATAAAATTTTACAATAGTTTGATTATAATAATTGTTACAACATTCAAATACAGGGTTTTTGTTTAAGTTAGAGTAGAACTTTATGTAATAAAGTGATAAAAATTAATTAATTTCAAGAATACATAGTGCATTTTCAAAAAAACGCAAATAAATCGAAAATTCTCAAAGATAGGTATAGGGATTGTTTAATAAAGTAATATTATTTTTTTAATTAGAATTCAAAATTAAAGTAAAATACAGGGTGTCCCATTTAAGTTAAGAAAGTAATTATACAAAATATGGTACAGCATTGACACTTCAGATTGCGAACACTCTGTAGATTAGTTTCAAATGATAATTATTCTGATGTAAAGCATGGATACTTGACAATTAACTGACAAACAGGCGTTAATTAAAATTCATGCGATATTGTGTAATTAATTAATTTCGCGAATAGTACATTTTCAGAAAAACCCAAATAAATCGAAACCGGTCAAAAATAGGTATAGGGAATGTTGAATAAAGTAACATTATTTTGTTGAGTAGAATTCAAAATTAAAGTGAAATATATGTTGTTCCATTTAAAAAAGTATAAGTTTATATCATTACGCCAAATTGGGACACCCTGTATATATCTCACAAAATTTAATTTGTAGCCGGTACTAACCTACGTATTCCTGCAAAAGAAATTTTTAATATCTTTAGCCGTTTCCCCGGTAGGCTCCGTCCCGTTGAGCGTGACTCACCCTGTATATATATATATATATATATATATATATATATATATATATATATATATATATATATAAATATATATATATATATATATATATATATATATAAATATATATATATATATATATATATATATATATATATATATATATATATATATATAAGAGAAAGGGTAATGTGAGTTGATAGTAAAATAGAGGTAAAATATGTCAGCATAGGTCGCAACAAAGGAAAAAAATATAATAAAATCCTCATGCAGCTAGGTAGCTTAGCTTCCTCCGTGGATGTATTGGTCGTTGCTTTGGAAATCTCAGAGTCCTCTAACATTATTGCCACAAATTGGTAGCATTCTCCTGTATTGATCCTTTCTCAAGTTGATTTTTTAGTATATTTTTTTTTTCGGTTGTTCCGAGCTATGCCAATATCTTTTACCTTTATTTTACCTTTATTATATAAATATTACAGTAAGTGTGATTAAATAAAAAATAATAATAATTACCGGCTACTATCAATACAACCTGAATAGCTAAAGTAAAAGTCCACTATTAAGAAGAGTGATTTCATCGTTTAAGCGCCGAATATCCTCAAATTTAAATGTACACAGTGGCCCTCGAAAACTATTGATTGTTATTGACTAATGATTGACTATTTACTAGTAATTGTTAAATTAAGGACGAAGAACCGAATTTTTCCAAGATAAGACAGCAAAATTCTGATGTTGATTCTTAAAATGAAAATCGCAAAGGAGAAAAAATATGGCTGAGTTTTTTAAAATCCAAGTTTTAAAGGTTGCGCCTAGATAATCCAGTGCCCAGCTTTCATACTCAGTTTATTTGTTCCTCGTTGTCATTTCAGATCATTTCTGCAGTTAGTAAGAGGCATTTGTCTGTTTTGCAGTGAGTTTTGAGTCCAGTTTCAACCCCAGAACTCTCAAAGGAGATACAATATACAGTGAAAATCAGGTACCATTTTTGTTAAATTTCTTAGAGTAAAAATAGATATTTTTCATCAATAATTGCTTTCGTGGCAAATTAAGAAATTATAATAAGTAAAATTATAAAAATTAGCGAGTGGCTAACTATTATATTAATTATTATTATAAAGTTTTAAAATTTAGTATTGACATATGACAATTAGCATTATTTTCTTGATAATTGGTACATACCTAATCATAAGTTGAAAATTTGTTTTATTTGTATTTAAAAAGGTTAACCTCTATGTATAGTTCCATTTAAAAAGATATTTTTTATTTGTAATAATGTATTTCCGCTATAAAATGTCGCCCATTAATAATTTAAGTGTTTTATAGTGTCTTCAACGTCTAGATATGTAAACCTATAGCAACATTTTTGTTTTGTATTTTATTATGATTATTTATATTTGTAACTGTTTGTGGTAACGAGACAGTAAATATGTAATTTTTCTTCCTATACCACGAGTATTTATTTTCTTTTAAAAAGATTTTAACCGCGTTTTATATATTAAAAAAATATATTTCTTTTATTCAGCAGAAAGATTCTTGTAAGCGGCGTCCGTTTTAAATAGTTTAAGAACCTTCTTGTGTTGTGTTGTCCAGGAGATCCATGTCAGTACACCTTTTGATTCATTTTTGTAGTTATTTCATTCCAGTCCCCTTGTAATTCACTAACCTTGTTTTGCTTACCCTATCTCCACCCCAGTATTTTCTGTCCCCAATTTTCACCCCAATTATAGTAATATCCCATATGGTAGGAAAAATAACCGTCACAATGTTATTCCATAGAAATAGGCTAAATATATAGGTCATATAGTCAAACAAGAACATCGTTTGTGGGAACTTGACACTCATATCGTTGTTTTTAAGTTTTAATAGAGTCAATTATAATTATACCAGGTGAAGATAATGAGAGCAGCACTGCAACTTCAGATTTAGACAGCGAATAATATTTTTAATAGTTTATTAACACCTTGTACTAGAATAGTACAAGGTGTTGTTACAATAAAAATTATTTTTATTTTGTTTTGTTTTATATTATTTAAGTTTTTTGTTTATTTTATTTAATGGAACAATCTCACCAACTCACCAAAAGACATTGACATTACTCTAGGGTGACGTGAAAATTGTCTTAAAATAAAAAAAATATATATATTTGTTTAAATATAAGTAGAGCAGAATTAGATAGAATGTAAAGGTTGCTAGTTGTAGATATTGTAGGTAACAAAGGATGATACCATGCTGTTCTGGAGCAAATTTCTTTGCAAAATTTTTCATTATATTTATTCATTCATTATATTCTATTATAAAAGAAATAAAAAACTGAAGTAAATATTACTGTTTACTTTTAAGAGCTGCTAAATCCATTAATTTGTTTTCAAACCAAAAAAGATCATACAGTTTTTGACCACACTTTAAAACATTTTATATCATAACTTTAATTCAGTAAACTTTAAAAGTTTTCTAAAAAGATATCACAAAAAGTTCGAAATTTTGATGACACAGACTAGACACACCCACTATCAATATTAAAAAAACGAAATTTGCTTAGGAGCTAAAAATAAATAAGTTATTGTGACTTATTCCGGAACGCAGAAATAATTTCTATATAGTGCTAAGAAGACTTTTAGTTACTAAGTTAAATGTTTTAATATTGGGTATTTTAAAATTTGAGACTACTGATCTTTTTACGTCAGTGATTTTTATTAAAAGAAGGCTTTTAGTAGAGGTTTTCGCCGAATACAAAAACTGCATGCGACATTTCCTAAGATAATAAATGCAGAGACGTAGCAATTTTAAAAAATAATGAGGAGCAAGATTTACTTCTTATGGAATATTTAGTTTAAGATATATGTTTTAGTATTTTATTTTGACATAATGTAATTTAATACTGAATTAATATTATATTATTAATATATATATATATATATATATTATATATATATATATATATATATATATATATATATTGAAACCTAGAGCTAAGATTAATATTTTTTACAAAAATTAATATCAAACTCATCGGTCTTCCGGGTTTAACCGCGTCGATATCCATTCAAAGAGATCAAAAATTTTGTCAACCTCTAGAAACATTAATTGTTCTTTCGGTTGTTTTAACTAATGTACAAAAGAATATTATTGAAGTCATATCTACATTTATAATTGATGAAATCAAAGAAGAAATTACCGAAGCAAGTTTTGTAGCTGTTAAATTGAAAGAAAGCACTGATGTTTTAAACCAGTAGCAACTTTCTGTTGTATTTAGATAATGTTTGCTCAAACGTGACGGTGATGCTTTCGCAAGATTTTTAAAATTTGCTAATGTTAGCAAAGAGCATTATTATCGAATATTTTGTTTAGTATGTTAAATGAGTTTCAGTGTGAAAATAAACTAATTGCACAGACTTACGATGGTGCAGCTGTAATGAGTGAGCCACACAACAGGCTACAAAAACTGGTTAAAAATAAGTATCAAGATGCAATTTTTGTTCATTGATATACGCATAGACTTGAATTTGGTTTTACAGCAATCAATGGAACATATTAAAAAGGTTAAAAAATTTTTTAAACGTTATCAGGGCTTGTTACATTTTTTTCCAAATCGTCAAAAAGCTTTAGATAAATTAGTACAAAAACGTTCATCCAAAGTAGCAGCAATAAGAAGGATTTATGCTGATAGATTCGTCGAGATTATTTCCTGTATTTGTTTAGAGCTTCTCTAATTATTTAAAGAAATGCCTACTTTTTTTTCGGTTTTATAGAAGGGGGTCCCTGTCTAGGTACTTTAAAATGCTGTTTTGTCGCCGAGTCTACGCCGACCGCCTACCTGCTAAACCAGACCCTCCTCTGTCATCCAGCGATCCAGAAGCGGAATGGCTGCTGTAAAGCCGGCATTAATACACATCCACACACCATTCTTCAGCAAAGAGGCTCCCTGTCTCGCTCTAAGTAGCGCGTAGAAGACTCTCATCGCTTCTATTACGGCATTATTTCTAGACGGGCATTTCTTCCTTCCCCATAGTCTGACTCACGCATTCTAACTCATACAGTCCAACCCACTTTTCTAGCTTCAACTTCCAGCAACTTTCACTTTTACCTTTGCCGTTGGTCTAGCTGTCTTTCTTCCTCTTCCTTTTTCTTGATTACTTTACGGATAAAGCTGTGTATGTTTGTCCAACCTGAATTAGTTTCAATCATTATTTTAATCATTTTTTCTCACTGTAACACACACCTGTCTCTCTCTCCATTATGTTCCTTTCCACTATCCATCTGCTGCAATCTAACATCGTAAATGTCACGGTATCCGGGTATCCACAGTATAGCCATTCATCTATGCTAGCCTTTCTGAACCAAGAGAGGTAGGCCTTAAAACACCCGTGTTCTGTAAGCACCTGCGTCAGGAAGTAATCCAGTCGCCTGTGGCCACAGTCTACCCGATCTCTTATATTCGGAATCAGCATTTTTGTCTACTGTGCCACATCATCCGTGTTGTTCCATTCTTCTTACCATCTTTTAATTGAACTTTTCCATTTTTGTCTTCTCTCGGCCACAGTAAGGTTTGGTCTCTTCCCCCATAGAGTTCTTTTCTTTCCACCGCCAAAACATGCAACGGAATACATCCATTCTGGTGCAATGTCACTCCTAGGTGCTTTACTTGTTTCTTGAGTATTAGAAATGCTCCCTTCTTCTTCTTCTAGTTCCATGACCGTTATCGATCGTTGGATATCATGTTGGCTACCATATTCGCTATCGTGACTTTATTGACAGCAGCTCTCAATAACGATTTAGTTGATTTTCCATACCAAATAGTAACTGTTTCCTTATTCGTCCTTGCAACTCTTTTTAATCTCAGTCTTATTTTTCCTACTAAAATATTGTGATCTGTTGGTACATCGGCCCCTGGATATGTTTTTACTGATAATACTGAATTTCTGTATCTCTTATTTATATATATGAAGTCTATTTGGTTACGAAAAACTCGTTCAGGTGTATCTGTTAGTGATTTCCAGGTGTAAAGACGACGTTTTGGAAGTTTGAAAATTGTGTTCATTATTACCAATTGCTTTTCTACGCAAAAAGATGCCAACATATCTCCTCTTTCATTTCGTATTCCCAGACCATATTTCCCTATGACATCTTCCTGTTCACCTTCACCAATCTTTGCATTAAAATCTCCCATGATAATATTGAGATCGTGTTTCTTTGTAGGTGCTAATACTTTTTCTTTAGAAATGCTCCCGCATATTGTAATTCAACACTTTGCCTGTTCCTTTTTTCCTTCAGAATGATGGCTTCGGTTTTCTCTGCCGCAGTCATCTATTTCTTTACGACGCGGCATGTGTTCCGAACCCGGTATTTAAGATCTGGCTCATCTCGGGCCACTACCAGTACAGCGAAGTCATCCGCGAATGCGAAGGGGGTTGTACCCTCTTCGTATATACTCGCAGCATCCTTTCATACAGCTTACTGATACATCGAAGAAGACAGATGGGGCGATACTTTTCCCTAGCCGTGGGAAGCAGTATCAACTTCTAGACAAAGTCCTAGACCCTTCACCGTCTCAGGTGGTATCTGATTCAGTCCGGGGGATCTACGCGTCTTGAGTGAACCTAATTCCTCGACAAGTTCGTCCATGGTAAAGGGTCTAGCCCGCTCAGCTCCTTCATCCCTTCATACACCATGCCATCTGCCGTCCAGAAAGAGCTCTCGTGTTACCTCAAGTTTCTTGTCCATAGGCATTTCGTAAGGAGGATACGCATGGAACTTTTTCATCACGATCTTTTATCCCTGACCCTAGATGTTCTCATCCAGATTTTCACACAGCTCTTTTCAATGGTTTTTTTCTGTACAAATTATCTTGTAAAGTTCCCTCTTCCTTGCGCGGTACTCTTCCTTTCTGTCTGTTGCTCTCTTTAACCTTCTTTTCATTGTTATACATTAATTTCTTAGTGCCTTGAAATTCGCGTTCCACCAGTATGGCATCCTGTTAAAATCTTGGCGACCAATCTTGCTTTCTTTCATTGTTTCTTTAATGACTCTCTTCGGGCTTTCCATCGTCGGTGATTATCCCTGCAATATTCTCACTCCCCATTTAATCAGCTCCTCGTATACTTTTTCAGTAATTCCCATCGCCACATCTGCCCCCCGACATCCCGGATGCACGGACCGTGTTAGTGGTCCCCGTTCCGGTTATCGAGAACTTGATGTACTGATATTCAGTTCCGGTGTAGTCTGGCAAAGAAAATGATAAAGAAATGTATACTGACACAGAAACTTAGGATGGAGGGACATGAAAGGTTTTTGCATTACAATGCCAGAATTTGATTTTAATATCTTTCTCAAAATTATTCCACCAAAATCAGAAGTTTTTTAATATTTGGCATAAAAAAATGGGATATCGTTTTTTGCACACAACAGAATAATGAGTTTTTCAATTTTTTACAATTAGAGCAAAATACAAGAGGCAACAAATTTCCAATACTAACGATGGTAAAGAGACGCCTTATTGTCGACTTTTTTTTGTTAATAAAAGTTTATAAAAAATAAAAGTTTTTGATAATATGATTATTCAACTTAAAAATAGGTTTACTTAGAGTTTCAGCTTAAAAATTATTTGTCATATAATGTGCTCATCAAACTTGTAGAACAACACACTATATACTAATATTTAAAATAATTAATTAGATTTAATAAGTTAGCTACACTACTGAATTAAAAAGGGGAAGCTAAGGTCATCTCATAAGTTCGGAAATAAAATCACTAAAACGACCGAGGATATCCTTGAACTGGTAAATCTTTTATTAACTACACATAAAGAGAAATATAAACTGGATTGGATTTATTTTTGTTGTGAAACAAGAGTATTAACTATAAAGCAGAATATGACCGATAAAACGATGTAACTGAGTTATATGTCTATCTCTGTTCAATCAATATTCGACTATTTTAGATTAAGTATAAAATTGTCTACTTAAATGGCCGAGAGTATCAAAAGGAATTATAATATTTCTATTAATAACAAAAAAACGAGCGTGGTACTTGGGAAGTGCTGACAGAAATAAATAGTTCATAAGTATGCCTAAGTTGTTATTTGTTCTGAAAGAGGGTATATTAAAAACAACAAAAGCCAACAATAAAAAACACTTACACAGTGGTGTGTATACAAACTTAAATGTGGCGACTGCCCAAAAACTTACATCGGTCAAACTGGTAGAGATTTAAATAAACGAATAGCAGAACATAAAAGGGCTTTTAATAATACAAAAACAGATTCTACATTCGCACTTCCCCTTCTAGATCATAATCATTCTTTTAATGACGAATCTCAAGCTATCTTTATTAGAATCTATGGAAATTAACAAATTAAAAAAAAAACAGATATAATTCTGAATGACTAACTTGTTCACGCCTCCTCAATCTATTTAATTAAAGACTATAAAGTGTAAAGGCATGCCAAAAATAGATCACTTGAGAACAGCAATCAGCCGAAACAGCTGTAGTGATAAGAGTTTATAATAAATTTTGTGGAAGTTTTGAAAACAAAGTTTTCAGTGTTTTATTCTTACATAAAATAAATTTCCATCAAGTAACGGTCGATTCCATCAATTAGTATGGTTTTAACTCTTTAGAACGGTTGGTTTGAAAGTTATAGGGATCATTATGACTACCAATCTTCGCAACGAAATGGTATTTAAAAAATAAGAATAAACCTTATTTAATAAAATAAAAATAACATAAAAATAACAAATTTTTGTTGTAAATAATGCGTAGTAGTTTCGTTTATTTATTATTATACATTAAGTTTAAAGACGAACATATTTATAGGATAGATAAAATATGTTCCAAGGGAAACCAACATAAGAAAAAGTTGTAAACGAATATTCAAAAATTAATGTTATTTAATTTTAATTTTAAAATTTTATTAAGATAGTACTAGCTTTAAAGTAAGACACATGTAGGGGTGTGGGTTTTATCCAGCAGTTTATTTGATATCGAGTTTAGTCCACGTGTTTCTACTAGTCAGTAATAAAATATCTAGAAATACTGTAGTGGGTAGTAATACATGGTGGGTAGTTGATGGATTATTTGCGTTAAGTGTGAATGACATCGCAAGCTTTATTGCAATATAAGCTTACATATTTGTTTGTAGCGTTAATAAAGTATGTTTCTATTTCCGTAAAGCGGTGATTTGTTTTGCTTTGCAAGCAAAGTATTATTCTGTTTATTTCATACTTTTGATTTTGTAAGGATTTATTTTTTATTTATAGGACTACAGTACATTTTATTATCATCTCGTTTTTAGAGGAGTAACAAAAATTTAACTCCGACTTCAAATTACTAACTATAGTACTTACAATGTTCTTCTATTCTTAGTATTAAGTACAATACTTACTTAAAAACTAAGATTATCATCTTCAATAAGCATATATAATTGCGGTAAGATATATAGTAAAACGCTTAGATTTGTAGGTTTTGATAGTTCTGTTTACGAAATGC